CAGAGAAGGAATTGAGGTTGATCCTCAAAAGATTGCAGCTGTGAAGAATTGTCCTAGACCTACAACTCCAACAGAGATTCATAGTTTCTTGGGCTTAGATAGATATTACAGGAAGTTTGTGGAGGGGTTCTCTACACTTGCCTCTTCGTTGACTAAATTGAAACAGAAGGCGGTTAAGTTCCAATGGTCAGATGCTTGTGAAAGGAGCTTCCAAGAGTTGAAATTAAGATTAACTACGACACCGGTGTTGACTCTACCAGATGGTACAAATGGATTTGTGGTATATTACGATACTTCAAGGATCGGCTTTGGGTGTGTATTAATGCAACATGGCAAGTTGATATCTTATGCTTCTAGGCAACTCAAGAATCATGAAAAAAACTATCCAACACATGACTTAGAGCTTGTGGCGGTGGTATTTGCATTGAAGATTTAGCGTCATTATCTGTATGGGGTCCATGTAGATATATTCACGGACCATAAAAGCCTGTAATACATTTTCAAATAAAAGGAATTGAATCTGAGGCAGAGGAGATGGCTTGAGTTACTCAAGGATTACGACATAGATATTCTATATCATCCAGGGAAGGCTAATGTTGTGGCAAATGCTCTTAGCCGGAAATCTATGGGTAGTTTGGCTCACTTAGCCTTAACAGATGTTCTTACCTGTTAAGGCTACCGACATAGCAGAACAGTATGGCCAGTTGTACATCAAGAAAATAGTCAGGTTACATGGTACTCCAGTTTCTATTATCTCATATTGAGGGGCACAGTTCACGGCTAATTTTTGGAAGAAGTTTCAGCAAGGTTTGGGTACCCAGGTGAAGTTTCAGCAAGTTTGTGCATGGCGTTGTTCAACAAACACTCTCCCGAGAGTGTCTGAATCTTTTCCCAGTCTTTCTCTGAAGCCAAATGCTTCAGATAATTAGCAAGCTCCACCGACCGGGATATCAAGTTGCATCCAGTAGAGACCGAAAGAGTAATGTTCCTCCTCCTTTTTGGATCTTTAGAAGGGGCATCATAGTTTTTTCCCAAATTCACATGGACTGGGGATTATGGAAGAGGAACACCTTCTTCATGGTCAGGTGCGGCCGATGGAGGTGATGTAGCATTTGCAGGTAGAAGAGTGGATGAAGATGGAAGTGATGTAGCAGTTGTTAGTATTAGTGAAGATGGAGATGAAGCTGATGGAGTTGAAGAGTGAGAAACAGCTGTGTCAAATGTAATGCTAGTTGTTGGATGCTCGCCAACCAAAGACCGCAAGGACCCGATACTCAGCCCCGCAGTACCGAACACAACAATTGGGGCCCAAAAATGGGAGTTGACATTATCTACCAAATCAAACTCTCCCCAAAGTGTTGAGGCATCGTCCTCGATTGGTGTAACTCTCTCAGCAGGTCGAGCATCCTGTTGAGATGATGAGGATCGTTGCCTTCTATGTAGCGGAGCTCCCTCATCATCATCAATCATCACGGTGTATATGACCGGCCCGAAAGGAGGACCAGTCACCATCGCCACCGGAGATGACTTAGGGGCATCAGTCTTTGCCCTCTTATTATTTTCCCCGGCCGCGGAGGAACGTCTTCTCTTAGATTGTTTATCCTCCGGTCGGGGACTCCATAAAGAAGTGTTTGCACCCGAAATAGGCCTAGAGATACCTGTTCGAGTTAGTGCCTCCTGAAGCAGCCTCGCTGCATCAGCAGGATCAGCCAAACGTCCTCCCCGGGGACAGCAACAGAGCCCGCAGGTAGACCTAATTTCATGAACAAGTCAGAAAGGTTCAACCAAGTTCTCCATATATAAAAAATGAAAGCAAGGTAAGTTAAAATTACTATGGTTTTTGGCCATCCACTCGTATTTAAGGGCCAGTTCTTTTCACAAATGAGTTAGGGCGTCGTGACATCCAAGATCTTCTAAACCTACCAGTCCAAGACTTACACCATCGGTGGGATTAGTTGCTGAAACATGAGAAGGGTGAAGAGTCGATGCAATCATAGAAGAATATTTAGTGAAAGTAAATATATTAAATAAAGATCTTACGAGTGCGGTTCCAAGCGGTCGGAAAGGATGAAGCCGTTGTCGGAATGATATTATTGGTGGCAACTACAACGAACCGTTCCGTCCATCCACGATCGTTATCATCATCTATGATAGTCAACAAAACATGATGACCACGTTTGCAGAGGTTTATCATACCCCCACGGAAAATTTTGGGAAAGTAGAGATTCATCATACGAGCTAATGTTATCCCTTCTCCAGTCTCCTGGCACAAGCGTCGAAGGCAGGCGACCGTCCTCCACACTAAGGGACGTACCTGTGCCAAACACACCTGGTAGCAAAGGCAAAACTCCCAATCACGGAATCAAGCTCTCCACTCAAAGAAAATGCACCCAAAGTAAAGGGATACATGTAAAAGTACGTAAAACCTTCCTTGGGAAGGGTCACTCACTCCGATAGATCAGGAGCAATGATATCCAACTCATGGCAGCGACAGTCTTTCTTCACAACGGGAATACTGGAAGGACGAATGGAAGAATGGTACCTACGAACAGCCCATGTATGAGGGTTAACAGTAGGTAATTCCTCTTCAAAGTCCTTTGTAGTACTGAGTCTTCTTGGGATGATGGAACCCACCGTTGGAGGAGCAGAGTCCTCGGCTTTGTTCTTGTTCTTTGAAGAACCGGCACGCTTGGAGGAAGAAGTCATTGAATAAGAAGAAGGAAAAGATTTTTGTTTGAAGAGAATTAGATGAAGGATGGAGAACAAAGATGCAAACCAGAAGCTCGAGAAATTATGAAGTGTAAAGGAAAAGAATGATGTGTATAAGTAAAATTTTGGCGTCTAAATTTATGGCCATGATTACCTCGATAATCGGCAAAAAATATGCTGAATCGTGGGATGACTCATATTCGGGGCATTAAATGCGGAGAGACGTGCGTCTAATCAACTGTCAGAAGCCTTCAAAGGGAGTTATAGTAACTCCCGCCAAAAGAGTATTTCTACCAATTTTTCGGTAACATAAAGTTATATCACCGGAAAGCATGGGGACTATCTGTACAGGGTGAAATATAATATGATACATGGTCATCTAAAGGAAAGACACGTGGAACCCAAGACGGGGATGGCCGAAGACCGAATGCAACCATTCTGCTTGTCACCGGAAGGGATAACGTTCATAAATGTGTATTAAATGCTCTGTACCCGATAGCATTTAATAAGGAATATTCTGCAACATTAAGAGCGATAACCCGTTACAGAGAATTTAGCATTTATATTTACCCTTACATCTTCATCAATGACCCTCACAATTGACATTAAAGGAGGGCACGATCCTAGGACCTCCTTCCTTAGACATAACTATAAATAGTGAACCCAGTTATTATTGTAAGGGGAGGAATTTTCTGGCTAAACTTACACTATATTCTATACAAAGCTTAATACAATCTTATTTTTTCGCTTTTTGATCTCATCATTGCTATGCCCGGATACCTTATTCCCGGAACTGTCATCTCTGCTGTTTTCATCTATATTTTAAGGCTAAGTATTGTACATTTCTTCAATTATTGCATTATTTCAGGATCAAATTAGTTCACTTGTCTAGAAACCACGTATAAATTTAACTGTACCATTTTACAGGTAAACATCAATACCATGCATACTGCTATTATTGTCCTCCTTATGAAGATAATGTCTTTAATTCACTTATAATGCACCCGCAATATAATCCCAGCCCTAATATTGTATAAGTATGTGCAATAGGTTTCGTTATGCTAAAAGTAGGATGTTTTGTTCGGGAAAAAGGATATATCGGTGAGTATGATCTTTCCAGAGGTGGAAGAACTGAAAATGATCGACCCTACGGTATAGGGCCTATACGCATAGGCGGAGTCAAGATTTCAAGTTTATGGATTCAGAATTCTAGTCGTTTTAAGTTACTGGGTTCTAAATTAATAATCTATATATATTCAATAAATTTTTTAAGACAAATACAAGGTTCGAACCAAAGCTATTGGGTTCGGCCGAACCCGCTCGGGACACTCTAGCTCCGCCCCTGCCTATTCGGATTTCCAAGTGTCCAGCACTTACCAAGTATGTTGAATGTAGTATACTCTCTCCGCAATAAGTGATTTTTTGAATGATTTCACAGAGATTAAGAAATTCATCTTTTAATATTAATTAATAATGAAATTGACTATGTTAACCTTTACTATCTCTTCACATAAATACTCCTAACACATACTCCAACACTATTTACTCCAAAGATAATGTAGGAAAAAAAATAATTAATTCATTCTTGAAATCTGAAAAAATCAGATATTTTGGACCACAAAAAAAAGTAAAAAAATCACTTATTGTGAACGAGAGGGAGTACTAAAATGTACCTTTGGGAAAATAACATGTACGTATGTAATTACGAGCAAAGAGCTAAGTGGGAAGAACAAGAAAGGTGTCTTTATGTGCGTCAATAATTTTTTATACCGTCAACGCAAATTAAACTTATAATCCGAATAAAATCCTCCCCATATAAATGCTGGGAAATAACCTAAGTAAAAAGATTTCAAGCAAAATTTTGGTGTAGCAGCTAGCTAGACTGCTGGTCCCCATACCCTTTTGGTTCACGGAATGATTTTTTACAGGATTTGTTTTTTAAAAAGAAGTCATTTCCGTACCCATACTCATCAAAGTTTCATTTATTAAACAAAGAAACTGTAATGTTTGATGAGAATCAGCAGCAAGATTTTGCTTGTTTTAGTGCCCTTAGGATCATAGGTGTCTTTCAACTAGAATTCACATACGGAGCTAGCGCCTTAGCAGCTTTGCAGCGTATTAGGTAAAAAGAAGTGGTCCATATATACATATGAACAAATTAAAAGGTGAAACGAAACATAAACTAGTAAATGCATGCATGATCTAATATATATATAGAGAGACGACTTACCTACAGATCACTCATGATGCTGGAGAATCTACTTTTACAATGACATGAAATAATTTATTACTATTATTAATAAACCATAAACAAATCCCATAAATAGGACAGTTCACATGGACATTTTTCTAGACTCTCAATAATAGCACAGAAAATGTAGCAACCATAGACTTGCCATGCCACATTTTAGGTCGTCTCTGAATATGACACATAAGATACTTAGAGGAAGAGTTCATTTTAGGCAGCACATATACTAAAAGTCTAAACTCCCCAAATTTACGCCATAGTTACTCAGTCTAGCTAGGAAACTGCATGTGAGGAGGGCTAGCTAGCAACCATAGCACTAGTATTTAAAAAGCACGCCATTTTTTAAAAAGAGGTCCAAAAAAACTACTAGTAGGAAATTAAAGGAAATGATCCAAGAAACCTGAACCCTCTATAAATTAGGCTCAATTATCTTCTCCTCTTCCATGGCCTCCAGAAGGGCTTTGATCATTCCATGGGGGAGGATAAGGGAAAGGAAAATTATGTGTTTGATGAAAACCTCCCAATTCATACTCCCTTTGGGGTCCAACCAACGGCACTGAAACATCGTTGCAAGAAGCATAGCGAATTAAATCCGCGTTGGCAGCGTCGAGCTCCTTCTGGAGGCGCTCGACTTGCCGTTGGAGGAAAGTGATTGCGCCAACACACCCATAAACGGGATCCCTGACTCTTGCCTCGGCCTCATAGGCCAAAGTGTTGACGGCGTCCTCCCTCTGGTGAGGGAGGAGCTCGTTCAGAAGCTTGGTCACATTGCTGGCCCCGAAGATTTTGTGGACATTGGCAAATTTCTGTGGCTCCTCAGGTGGGAAATAAGGTGCAAAGATGCAACCAGGCAGACATTTTCTCCTTAGGAATTTGCAGGCAGCACATGGGGAATTGTAGCAGCTGGATGAAGCCATATATATATATATATATATTTCCTCTCTAGCTAGCCTAGCTGCACCAAGTTAACATGATCAAGTAAATACCGTCTTTCAATTGTTCTCTATATGCATCTTTAATTAAGCTATATGGAGTATTTAACTATTCTACTCGTTCCTATAAGCTACAATATATATATACTCACAACTTTTCCTTAACTATTTCTAGCCTAATTTCATTTTCTCCAATTTCGGATTTTCTTGAAACTTTTAATTATGTCTTGAATAACCATCAAAGAACCTTAGCACGCCTAAGATTAAGAAAGAGAGGAGCAAATAACTTAGCTAAGCCTTCTATCAAGAGGAAATCACATAAAGTCTATTATCATATCTGCATGTGTGGTAGAGAGTTCGATAGTACATGTACAATGTCTAAATGAATTTGTTTATGGTATTCTATATAGTGCTAAGTTAGCTAATTATTTTTCTTATTCTGTTCTCTCCCCTAAACTTGTTCCTTTTTTTCTTTCCTTTTAACGGCTAAAAGGAACTATGCATGGTTTGTTCAATTTAGTTTCAACAATTTGTCTTATCTATTATCATCCAGCTATCGCACAGCCAGTAGAATAATTTAATTTGTTGAGTTCAGTTGGATGTAGTGAGATATCCTTCTGAATATAAATTCTGTTAAATACAAGATCTGATCTGAATATAAACATAATGAAATCTACCGTTTTTGAAATACATTTTCAGAATATAAATAAAAAACCGGGAAACCCTAGATCGACAACTATGACATATAGTTATATAGCAAATATTTGGTGGACTTTATCTTAACACCTTTCCCAAAAGAGTGGCAAGTCGCACAACAGAAAACAATTTAGCTAAAAAAGATAAGAGATCACAAGAAAACGTCATGACTTTACCTGTTTGTTGTGATCTATGTTTTTCTGATGAGAATAATGAAAAGGGAAGTACCTTTTTTTTATTTATAATCTTTGTGAGAGCTCTCTCAGAAAACTGGTTACAAAGTAACAAAGAGAAAGTACTTCACAGGTTCTTTAAATTACCACTAGTGATGAAACCCTCAGAGGTGAAACCCTAATTGGAGAAGGGAGCTTTTGCCCTAATCTGCAAATCCTATAGCAAAAGTTGTGAACAAAACTGAAATGAGGAGGCAAAGAGCATTTAGTGATGGAGAAGGAATGAAGGCAAAAGACAAAAGGGCAACAAATGGGAGGTACTTTATGATAAAAAAGATGACTATGGCCCTCAAAATCGAATAATAATAATATCAAGGAGCTGTGGGGTTGTTTCCCATTTTTCCTTCTACCCTTTTCTTCCTGCTCATGCACTACTCAGTGACAACCAAAAGAAATTCTAAATATGTATTTCACTTTTTATATTTTTTTACTCTGTCAAATGAATCTCAAGTAGTATGTGTCAAACATCTCATTTACCTCCTGGTCATTCCTTGTCTGGTTGGCCATTATATTAAACCAATAATTCAGCAATTCAATCAACATGAATGGTTGTGGCGGAGTGATAGATACTTCTTCTTTTTTATTAAGAGATCTTAGAATTGATTCTTGAGTATGAGGTCGCCCTAATTTATGGAGCTCTTTACCTCCCACTATAGGATTACCGGCACAAATCCAAATTTAATTTACTCAGCCTCCAATACATATATCCTGAATTTAGTCAAGCCCCAATACCGAATAACATATAATAAGAGAGGAAGAGATTGATATACAGATAGTTTCTTAATTCAAAAAAAAAAGTATATATTCTCGTCTAAATTGGAGCATGGAGATGATTGTTTGAAGAGAAAATGCAAATTAACATTGCGTATAAAAGAGAGCTAAGCCTTATCTGAATTTCCCTCCTAATTTGTAGATAATCCTATCCAGTATCCACCTGTTTGTATCAACTTCTTGTCCATTCATATTTGATCACTCTTTTTGTGGAGTTAACATGCTACATTACTGCTCTTGACAAATGTCTAGGAAATAGGTTAAATAGCAATTGAACTTAAGTATTCATTATTCTGACATTTTTCGCGCACCATTTAAGAACTAAAAGGAAATATTCTTTATATATAACATCATGTCGTTGTGCTTAAGAAAATAATCACTAGTATCCAATGCTAACTCATGGTTTCAAATTAGATAAATGCATATACAATTTTTTTTTTTTGCGTGTATGTGTTGACCTAAGCGGTATAAGTTTTGATGATTTGACAAAGGAACACATGCATGAACCAGGTCCATGGATACTGTACACAGGTCAACATCGGAAACAAGCAAAAGGCATACATGTACAAGGGATAAGCATAAGCGATTATTTCTGATAATACGTGAACGAAAAGATTGCATATTTCATAGTAAGGAACATGACTCTTAACTTGAAGAGAACTAATCCAAGATAAAGAAAAAGTTAGAGGTTGAAGTTAACTAAAAATCTTCTACCAAGGAAGAGTAAATTAAAGCAATAGATTTATAGTTACTCTTTATTTACTAACTCTATAAATGTCAATGTTGTTCTCTTTTACGGGCAATCACACACATATAGAAATGAAAGCAAGAATTGAGAGCAAATAACAAGGTATTTTGTGAACAATTCCTGTGAGACTTTTGAATTGAGAGCAAATAACAAGGCATTTTGTGAACAATTCCTGTGAGACTTTTGAATTGAGAGCAAATAACAAGGCATTTTGTGAACAATTCCTGTGAGACTTAAAAGTGTGACCTTGAAGCTACACGAACCCGATTGAAGAACCAGTTCCATGAAGAGTTTTATGCATCTATCTTTAATTCTAGTTTAAGTGTAGTAGGAGCTTTTGAGTCGTACATTCAGTTTGCTTTAGAAGCATTTGTATTAGGTACTTGAGTTGTGTTATTCAAGTTAGAATTAACTTGAAATAGTCGCAACACAGCCCGTGGCATTGCTACATGGATTAGGGGTCGTTTGGTAGGGGGTATTAGAAAAGATAATGCAAGCATTAGCTATGTGAATTACTAATACAAGTTTGGTACATTTTTTCAACATGTGTATAACTAATACTTTTATTAGTAATATATCATACTTGGTATTATCCTATGTATAAGCAATACATAGAAAACCATGACATTAGTAATGCAAGGGTTTTTAATACTTGCATAAACATGATTAAAGACCTAATTGCCCCCCCCTCAAATCCCTAAAAACCCATCTCAAATACTTTCCCCCATATTATTAGCAAGAAGACTTCTCTGGAAGCTTTGGCCATGGAGTAATATAGGTGAATGCAGCCAAACTTACCATTTAGATTAATGGATCACTTAAAAGAGCCTCAGCCTTTTGCTCGAGGTGGATGTTACCTCTCAATATTGAAATTTTTGCTCGAGGTGGATGTTACCTCTCAATGTTGAAAGAATTTCTTATTCTGTTATCTATGTAGTTAATTATTATATCTAAAGTTGAAAAGTGTGGAGGGTACTTTTATAAACATCCAAATTTTTAAAAATTTTGCAATGCTTTAATACACCCAACCAAACAATGGATAAAAAAATAATCTCAGCATAACTAATGCCAGCATTACTAATACACTCTATTCAGCACTATTCTTATACCTCCTACCAAACGACCCCTTAGAGTTTAATCCTTAGATTTGCAAGAGTTTTGTACACTTTGTTTTGGCTAAGAGTTTGGTGAAAAGCTTGGAAAAAATCCTACTGGGAAGTAGGTCGAGGTGTTTTTATCTTTTTGAGCTGAGTGTTTTCCACATGAAGATCTTTATGTTCTTTACTTTCTGCTTTATTGATTCCACTACCGTAGTTAAGAAACTCATAGAAGAATCAGGTCCTTCGATAAACCAGTGCACGTGAAAATTCAAATCACCCCTCTGGTGTGGTATTGAAATATAAAGCATCAATATATTTTGCCTTGATCTTGTTTCTAGAAAGGAAATAAACAAATATAATAGGATTTAAAAAGTTGGGAATGAGATGGAATATTTTTTCTTTAAACATCAAATTATGAGCAGGGTCATGTTTATTAATTTGAATTTTCCAGTATTTGGAGTTATTTGATTATTAGTTGCATTAATGCATTTTAGTGTCCATTAATGCACTTATAATCAAATACTGGGAAATTCAAATTAAAGACCACAAAAGGTGATTTTAAAAAAGGTGATGGGTATATGTTATTATAATTTTTGTTATCAATTAAAATTAGTGGGATAAAATAAATCACTAAAAGGTGATTTCTGGTAACATTCTGATGTAAATGAAGAAAAACAAATTATATTCCTGTGCACTTTTAATCAATTACTATGGATTTAAAACTTCACGGATGATGACTAGAATATTCTTTCACACCAAAGTATAGAAAGGTAATGTCAATATTGAACAGTCGATCAAATTTTGTTGTTATTCTATGCATGATTCAACAGTGGATCTGAGTGACGAAATTGGTTCTGGCGAATACAAATAAACATTTCTTTGATTCATTCGGAGGAGCTTTTAGTTTTAGTTGTATTCGGTTTTAATAAAAAACATATAGTACCTAAATGTATTTAGCTCAAAAAGTGAAATAGTTGTCTGGAAACTAATATAATTGGTTTCCAAAAAATTAAAGCCAATTCAAACCCACAAAACTGACCAGCTTGCTCAATCCAGTCATTCATTTTCTTCATTATTCATGTATCCCCCATTCCTGATCTTTCTTGCTTAGTGTAATCTTTTTGGTAATTTTGTGCTATAAGAATAAGAATCAGCGAAACAAAGAAAAAGATCATTTTTTAGAGACTGTCCCAATTGTTTTTTCTTCCTATTTAAGATTTCGATATAATCTGCTCTATGAATCTAAACTTTTTGGATTGGCTTATTTTAAGTGTTTATTGACTATGATAAAAAGTGCTTAAAAACACTTACTTTTGGGCATGAAAAATACAAAAATAAGTCAAAAACCAAAAGTCAAAAGTTGAGTATTACCAATTTATGATTTTTGACTTTTAACTTAAAAACTACTTTTTAAAAGTTAATCCAAAGAGTAAGCTACAAAAGAAGGAACACTTTTTATGAAAAAGTTCCAAACTGTGAGACCTCTAATTTATAAGGTTGGGTGAAATGGTCCCAATTCATTTGCAGCCAAAACAAGGCCCATTTTAGTACTTGCACTTTTAGTCAAATACAAAGTTACTTGAGTCGAGGGTGTATTGTAAATAAGCGTATCTATGATGTTATGAGTTGTCTAAGAGCAATATTTTTGTACGATTACGATATCTTAATTCATAACCAACTTGATGGAGTGTCCTAGCACCTATATTAGTAGGTCATAATCAATGCGCATGGTCAACTCATTCTTTGATGGACTCTTTTAAATTCCAGTATTACTCTTCTTTTCTTGGTAGCTCATTAAAGGTGACCGTCATCTATGAGATTTTTAAGAAAAAAACACAACCTGTCAATGGTGATTCAGAACTGTTTGTTTTGAGAAAACAAAAAGCAATTGTTTTTTTTATCTTTTTGCTGAACAAATGTTTTTTTTAAATAAAAAATAATCAAAAGTTGTTCTTCGAAAACAGTTGTTTCAACGCACAATCTACTAAGTCTTTCACATGTTATTTCAGAAATAAACTAAATTAAAACTCAATCGGTTCTAGATATGCAGGCTTAATTATCCATTTACTAAAAAATAGTATATCTTAAACGATACTCATCTCATATGAAATTATAACATTAATTTATTAAAAAAAATAAGTAAATAACCAATTTTCGTTATCCGCCTTGCCAATTGATAAATATGTGAACTTATATGCATGTTTTTCCCCGTAATATGACATTATAGCCAAAAACAAACAACTACTAAGTAGTAACTAAAACAATTCTTAAATGATTTAGCGAAATATGAACTACTATATATTCTCCAAAATACTTTTTTAAGTTGACAGGCTTTGTCTAAAACACGTGCGTTAGCGCCCGGTTACATCTCAAAGCCTGGTTAGTCGTTAGACATATGAAACAGCATTACGAGATCTCTAAGCTTTCATTCTCAGACATCTAAGAATTAACCCACAGGTAAAAATTGACTCTGCTACAAATCATGATTCTTTTGTGTACAAATATATATAATTACTTATATCTGTAGTAATATTTTAGGTGAAGATCAATGGCGGGTGCCACCTCCGCGCTGTTTCTTCTTGATATGAAAGGCAGATGCCTTATATGTCGTGACTATAGAGGCGATGTTTCTGCTCAACAAGTCGAGAAATTCTTTTCTAAGCTCCTCGAAAAAGAGGTACATCATGTTGTCAATCTTCTCCGTATTGTTTCAATTGTATTGTGCTCATTCAATATTATCAATTTTCTACATTTGGTGTAGTACTTCTGAATTGCTAAGATATGATTGAGATATTAGTATATACTAGCTAGTCTAATTAGCAACTAATTTTCTTTTCTTGGGTGGTTATTCAACTTTGTGTTTATTATCCAAAAGTCACTTTTCAGTCATTTAATTTTGTGTTCATTATCCAAAAGTCACTTTTTTTTTTCTTTTGTTACACAAAAATCATTTTACTATGCTCTAGTTATCACAATAGTCATTTTAAAAAGTCTATTATGCCCTTGAGACATTATAAATCCTCACATTTATGCAACATCTTCTATATTATATGCTATATAATATACATTTACCCAAGTATTTTACTTATAATTAAAATAATTTAATAATATTTTATTTATTATTTTATAATATATTCGTATATTTAATTTTTTCGTAACATTAATTTTCAAGATATATAAGTAGCATTATTAAATTTGTCGGTAATATTACCGTGAACAAATCTCAAGTCCACGTTCTTAATCATGCTTAATGAAACATTTTTAATGAAAATTATAAAATCAAAGCTCACTGATTTATTGCCAAGTCATATCCATTAATCCAATAAATAAAATACTTACATTTAGCACAATAAAACATCATATTAGTACTTTCAAATAAATAATATTAACAGACAAAGCTTTAAAAAATTTAATTAAACACAAATATACTTTGAAACCTTTTCTAAAATTCTTATTAACTATAAAAAAACTATCATTTGTTAAATAAATCTATTTTTATAATTTCAAATAAATATTAAAATATAAATATTTTTATTGTTTTTATATTTAAAATATGTTCATGTTTGAATATGATTAAACAAATTGAGTGCCACGGAATATGTATTATAAAAATAATATAAAGTTATTTTAATTATAAGTAAAATACCGGGGTAAAAATATATTATATAGTATATAGTAGTATATAGAAGGTGTTACATAAATGAGAGGATTTATAATGTCAAGGACATAATAGACTTTTCAAGTAAAAGTATTATAAAATCTGGCCAATGTGACTTTTGTAATAAATAGAGCAAAGTAAAATGATTTTTGTGTAACAAATAAAAGAAAAGTGACTTTTGAGTAATGAACACAAAGTTGAATGATTTTTACGTAACAAAAAAAAAAAATGACTTTTGCGTAATGAATACAAATGACCACCCATAAAAATTACTCTCTAATTAGTTTAATGCTGCGATGACAAGTTTTAGATTAATTAGATTGTCTCAATTGAGATTAAAACTTGACAAGATTGGGTTGCTCTAGTGGTAAGCAGGAGTTCTTGGAGGGAGTGAGCCAGCCTCTCTACCTCAGGAAGGGGTAAGGTCCGGATTGTTATTGTTGTTGTTGAATTGAGATTAAAACTTGGTTTATTTTGGAAATCCATCGAGTGTCAGAAATTTAAAAAACTGGTTCACATTGTGTCGTTATATAACTGACTTCAATGAGTGATTTTACTACATACAGTTTCTTTTTCTTTTCCTCCCTTTGCTTTGGTTTTTCCTTTTGTCTTCTTATTGAATTAGCTTACTCTTCCTTTAAGCATAACATGTTTTGGTTTCTTAGGTACAATAAGTTGATGAAAACTGAGAAGTCTTTTATTTGTTTGTCTTCATCATTAGTTCTTCCCTTTCTACTATTGCTGGAACATGGATTTGGTAAATGAAATGACAAATAATGCGCTCATGTGATTCATATTTTGTGGTCCAATAGCAAGGAACAGTGAGAATTATGTTTCGTGGTTGGTTTTCCTATCTTTTCAGAAAAATGCTACTTGCTTGTCATAATTGGGTTTTCCTTTTCATACAAGCAAATTATAAATTTTTTATATTTGGCTAATCTTTTTGCTTGGAAGAAAAAGTTTTGGACTTCTATAAATTAAGGATGCTTTCTTCTATTTAGTAGCATTCACAATGTAGTCCCTGTGGGGTTTGAGAGTCTATTTAGTTATGTTGCTACTTGTGTGTGCCTCTTTGTGAGGTTGTTCTCTCGATGTTTTGTAAGTGGATTGCTCATCTCCGCATGTATATGTAAGTTAATTGACCGACCCGCATTAAATAATGGTACTGATTTATCGTTGTTCAAGGTTTACTTTAGTAGCTTGTGCATAACACCTTTGATCCTAAAGTGGTTATGATGCACAAGATAAATAATAGACATCAGGGTGAGTAGTGAGACTTTGATTCTAATTGAGATCTCTGAAAGTGTATTTCGCATAGTTTTATGGCTTTATCCGGGAAGGTACAAGCGAAGAAGTTCATTTTCAAATCTCCTTGCACAAAGAAAGGGGGAAATCTTAGGACATGTTTTATTAATGAAGAATTTGTTCCTGCGATATTGACTGCTTCATATTTTTGGTTTACGAATGGATTCCAATTCCATACTAATTGGGGAAGTGAATGGACTGTGAGCTTTCTCAAGGTATTTTGTTCAATCTGCTTACAATAGGGTGACGTAGAATCTGATGGACCAGTATGCTACGAAAATGGCGTGAATTACATGTTTATACAACACAACAACATTTACCTGATGGCAGCATCGAGGCAGAATTCTAATGCTGCTAGCCTCCTTTTGTTTCTACATCGTGTAGTTGATGTAAGTGATCCAACCAATTAGTTTAATGAGTGATTGAATTCGTGAGGGGCTTTCTTACTGTCTGTGTTTTCTTCTGGAGGTCTTTAAGCACTATTTTGAAGAAGTGGAAGAGGAGTCTCTACGAGATAACTTTGTTGTTGTGGTGAGTTTAAGGAACAGCTTTTAAAAATAATTTATGGCAGATAATTACTTATGGATTTCATATGTCAGTATGAATTGCTTGATGAAATGATGGACTTTGGTTACCCTCAATATACGGAAGCTAAGATTCTTAGTGAGTTTATCAAGACGGATGCATACAGAATGGAAGTCACCCAACACCCTCCAATGGCCGTAACAAATGCAGTTTCGTGGCGCAGTGAGGGGGTATTTTATAAGAATAATGAAGTATGACCTTTTTATTTCCTTTAGTCCTTATGCATCTCTTGTTAGCTTAAATATCAAACTTGTTTGTCTTCAATCAGGTATATTTGGATGTGGTCGAACATGTTAATCTCCTTGTCAACAGCAATGGCCAGTTAATACGTTCTGAAGTTAATGGGGCGTTAAAGATGAGAGCTTATTTGAGGTACTTGGTTTATCAACGACACTTTTTTAGTAAATACCTAAGACTTTGTTTCTACATCTGTGATGAGGATAGGAGAGTAGTGCTTGCCACTATGTTCTGTTTCGGTTAAACACAGATGAGAGCTTTCCTATAGTTGATCTTATTTCATCTCTACACTTCCTTGTTGATCACCATAACAGGCTCTTCTCATTGCCTTATACCAAGATTTTATTCAAACACCAACATTTATCCTTCCAGTATAATAAACTATGTTTCTAGAATGAAACAACTGTCATATTTGAATTCCTTTCAGTATGTTGCTTTCATTGTATCAACCAGATCTCAGATCTTGTAAAAGATCTCTCACACTGTTAATCTTTTGATAAATGGTTCCCCATGACATAGTTTTCATTTTAGTCGTATTAATTTTGCGTATATCCTTCAAAAGGCCCAAATAAGTGTATCTTCAACATTTGCAATTTTAATAGTTGAAGGGCTCCAGTGATATCTGATGTTGGTGCTTTAGTCTCACTATCCAGATATGACTGAAACAACTTGATCTACGTCACAATGTTCAGTGAAATGGATTCTTCATCAAAAGATTTACATTTTTTCATTAAGAGAAGGAAATGAAAGGTAAGCAGAATTAAAGAAGTAACCAACTACATGAAACTTCACCTGATAAGCTGTTAGAAAATAGGTGCATAAGCTTCAAGTTTTTCTTCTTATAATCTCTTTACACCGGTAATGTAGTTCATGCTTTTGTATCTATCTTAGCCACAACTTAGGAAGCTTACTGCAAACTATTTTTGTTCCCCATGGTTTTATACAGGAAATTTACTTACTGAAAGCCAAAAAGATATGTATACTCTTACAATGATCTGTTTTTGCTTTGATAAAACATTGTATTTTATCGATTGCAGTGGCATGCCTGAGTGCAAGCTTGGGCTGAATGACAGATTAATATTGGAGGCTCAAGGTCGACCTACCAAAGGCAAATCCATTGATTTGGATGATATCAAATTTCATCAGTAAGCATTTTCTAGTAAAAATTTGAATAATTGGTCTACTAACTGACTGCTTCCTCAATATGCTGTAAAATTCAGCAAATGAGTTGCTCGCACCACCCCCTTGGGCCAAGCTTACTGTACACCAGAAAAGCTTCTTCGCTCTTGACTATTAAACTCCTTCTGTCTAAACCACTTGTGCGTATATTCAGGTGTGTGCGTTTGGCTCGTTTTGAAAATGATCGCACAATATCTTTTATACCTCCTGATGGATCATTTGATCTGATGACATATAGACTCAGTACTCAGGTTTAACTCGTGTTCTCTGTTACTATGTTTTCTTTGTAGCGTGCCTATGATTGTTCTTCTTTTATTAGTTGAGGCATATTGTAAAGTGCATAACTTTACTAGTAATGCATTCAGGTGAAGCCACTGATTTGGGTAGAAGCTCAAGTTGAAAGGCATTCAAGAAGCCGGGTTGAGATGTCTGTCAAAGCCAGAAGCCAGTTTAAGGAGCGTAGGTAGCATTTTTCTCTTTTCTCACATATTTAAAAATTTTAACATATTATTTGTAATCTTCGTGTGCGCTTTTCGCCTGGCTTCTTTGCGTAAAGAACCTAACTCATCAGAAGTCAAGAAAAATGAACCATTTAATTTAACTAGTAGAATACATCTTTTCAAATGTTTCCTCTCTTCATTTATATTCCAGCTATCCATTCTGTTAGACAAGTTCCAAGTTCTATCAAGTTGGTGAACAAATCTGTGCAAATAAAAAACCGTACCGGCCATCTAGAACTACACTTGAAGATATTATTCTTTTATCACTGCAAATTGGTGTTGTGGAAATTTTTGCACTGAACTTTCTACTTCATGTGGCAGCACTGCTACAAATGTGGAAATTGAGTTGCCTGTGCCATCTGATGCGATGAATCCCAATATACGAACATCCATGGGATATGCTAAATATGCTCCTGAGAGAGATGCTGTGGTATGGAAAATAAAGTCATTCCCCGGTAATAAGGTAGGGATTGAGCAACTGATGCATCTCTATTTTATCCATTGATTGTGAGAAGATCTTCTACTGCTTTATCAGTCTTAACTAATGAACAGGATTATATGCTGAGGGCAGAGTTTAGACTTCCAAGTGTAATATCTGAAGATACACCTCCTGACAGAAAAGCTCCAATCCGTGTGAAGTTTGAGATACCATATTTTACTGTCTCAGGAATTCAGGTAATTTTATCTTAACATTCTGGTGCTAAAGCTCCATTTTCCCCCTTGATCTTGTGCCCTGAATTAGAGTTTCATGATTCACCCTAGAGGATTTATTTTCTTTATCCCTGTTTGCGGATCTGACCTCAACTGCCAAATCAGAAAAGCGTCCATATATTTTAAAGACTAGAATAACAAGATTTATATTGTGTTCCAATTGTGTCAGGTCTTAGACAACGCATATCCATGTTAAGGCTGTCTTTAAGCTGCTCAAGAGATTCGCAAAACATTATCTTTATATTCAGTGAGGGCATCATGTAGATAAAGATATTAAACTGTTAACAAGATATTCAACTTAGCAAATGATGGAAAACAATGTTTCAAGAAACCAAACCCTTTGTATCATGATGGTTTTTTAAGACCATTTAGCATATGACTAGATTAGAATTTTTGTTGGTATGTCGAAGGTCCTTCTTAAATCATATACTAATAGAGTTTTCTTATACCATTGCAATTATTATACCAACTACTATATAAATGTAAGAGTTTTGGTTTTGAGCAGGTTCGTTATCTCAAAATTATTGAAAAAAGCGGATATCAAGCTCTTCCATGGGTGAGGTACATAACAATGGCTGGTGAGTACGAACTAAGGCTAATATGAGCAGGACTCATCATTGTGGCGCGCTGCACTGTGCACTGGTGAAATGTAAGCTATTCTGGTAATATTCCATTCCTGGTATTGCTTCATATATTTAGTTTGGATGAAGAAAATATGAACTTCCAAGGAAATCCTCCTTTTTCGTTTTTGGTTGTATCAATATACATTCGTTCAAGCAATTATTTGGGTGGCAAGATATATATATATATATATCCGTTCCTTTTCTTGATCTGATTCAAAAATGCAAATTTTCAGTGATGCAGCCTCTGCTGTGTGGATCCCCCCTTTCTCCTACTTGGTTCGAGAAATATAGCAATGTGTTCAGTGATGTTTGCTCTTTCATTCTCTTTTACTGTTCTTTTTTGCCAAAATGGTTTAAGATATTGCAAGCAGAGCACACGAAACTTATCCCGAAAATAGAGAAATAAAATAAGATCATAAGGAATTTTTCTGTAATTCGATTGTTAGATGTTGAATCATAAGCTGATCATTTAGCAAAGAGAGGCAGAAAGTTTCAATTCGATAACCTAGAATTGAGACCTACCACATTTCTCCGTTTTGCATGTCATTCCAGCGCATTGCAATGCTAATCTTTTCTGTATCTTTCCAACTTTACCATGTTCCATAATTAGCTAATCATTAGTCCCAAATTAATTGCGTTACGAATTGTTCGTTTTATATCGGCTTCATCATAATTAGCTAGTTTATGTTGTTTGTTAACTACATTATTCTTCTCCTCTATTCGAGTTTGGTACCAACTATCTTTTGCAAGCTTATATAGGTGGAGATCCGCTCTTACCGAACAAGTAAACAATAAAACATAAAGTCGTTACATCCATGAATAAATGGTATAACTCATTAGTGTTTCTTGGTCCCCAAAAAAACTTTAAAAGAACCTCTTATGGTGCACTAATTAAGCTTTCACTTTGTGCAAGATTTAGGAAAGAGCTGGATCATATTGAGTGTATGTACATGACCTTCTAAAATATGGACACATCACACCCAGTGGAAGATTCTAGTAGTAAAATCTGAGGGATGAACATGTTAATAAGAAAGATCACTCCTTAAAATTTTTATGGAACACTTCCAACTCATGAAATTCAACAGAACTGAATGCTCAAGTACTTGGTTCTGAGAGAATTTAGGGGGCCTGAGGTTTATAACTATTTTATTGGAATAAAATTTAGAACTGTCAAGTGTTTCACCGAAATCCTACTCTTTTATTTTTGTTCTTCTTTTGCTATATCACTTTACTACTTTTTGGCGCTGGCAGACTTTAAACTCAGCCCTAGTTATGGTCAGGGACAGTCGGGGACGGAGCTACATTTCAACTTATGGATTCAGCAGAACCATTAGTTTTGGCCTAGACCATATAATTGTGTTAAAAAATCCAGTTAATATATATAAATAATTGATTCAAAACCCAATAAGCTGCCTTTTATAGAATCTAGAACCCATAAACTCAAATTTTAGCTCCGTACTGGGCCATGAAACATGGTGATGTGAAGTTACATTGCATTTGAGTTTATGATATCTTGTTTCCTGTGTGATCAAAACAAGACATTTTTGGTCCTTAATTGAGTGAAAAAGGTTCAAACAAATTGACGATGTATTTGCATTAGTGGTTATACTGAACTAGAGATAAAGATTCTATAAGTTCACAAATACTAATATATACATTTTTGTGTACAGCCCTCTTCTGCACCATTTAGTCTTAGAGAAACTATATGCCTACAAAAGACTAAACTCTATTTATGGAGCTGATCAGAGACAACCTTTGAATAAATTGATCATCATATTCTTCCTGATGGCTTATTAAACTGATCCGCACGTACTCTTTGGTTGAACCGAAATGAATCCCGCTTCTGGTCAAAGCTGAAAAGAGGGGAAGGAAAGTTGATTGGCAGCATAGTAAGACCAAAAGAACTGTAGAAAAAACAGATACAACCAACCAATAAACAAAAATTACCAGGTTGTGTTCCAAATATCTGACCACTAAAGTTGCATTTTTCAATTGGAAAGTCGGGTAAACTAAAAACTTGGCCTTTTGTTAGGATCGGNGAAATGATACTTTATATCAATGTGCTTCGTCCTCTCATGATACATTTGATCTTTAGTCAAGTGAATGGCACTTTGACTATCACAGAAAATGGTAATACCACCTTGGTATAAACTGAGTTCCGCAAATAGACTCTTTAACCATAAAGCTTCTTTGATCGCCTCGGCCACTGCCATATATTCTGCTTCGGTAGTAGATAAAGCTACTACATGTTGTAATGTAGCTTTCCAACTAATAGCGTAACCCCCAATGCAAAATACATAGCATGTCAGTGATCTTCTTTTGTCAAGATCACCTGCATAATCTGAGTCTACAAAACCAACCAAAGTATTAGTATTTCTCCCAAATTCCAAAAATGTGTTTGAAATACCTCACAAGTATCTGATAATCCATTTCACAGCATGCCAATGTGATTTACTAGGGCAAGCCATATACCGGCTTACCATGCTCACTGCTTGTGAAATATCTGAACGTGTACAAACCATTGCATACATAATACTGTCGATTGCACTGGAATAAGGAACATGTGCCATGTACCTCTCTTCTTCCTCTGACTGCGGGAACTGAGCAACTGATAACTTAAAATGAGCAGCAAAAGGGGTACTAACCGTTTTAGCATCTTTCATGCCAAACCTCTCCAAGACTTTCTCCAAGTACTTCTTCTGGGTCAGAAATAGCCTGTTGGCTTTTCGATCTCTTTTGATCTCCATGCCAAGGATTTTCTTAGCTGCTCCCAAATCTTTCATCTCAAATTCACTTTTCAGCCGACTTTTCAAATTGTGAATTTCTGTTAAATGCTTAGCAGCAATGAGCATGTCATCAACATATAATAATAGGTACATAAATGAACCATCATTTAACTTCCGGAAGTAAACACAACTATCATACATGCTCCTCGAATAACCATGACCCAACATAAAGGAATCAAACCTTTTATACCATTGCCTTGGAGACTGCTTTAATCCGTACAAGGATTTCTTCAACAAGCAAACATGATCTTCTTTTCCTTCAAGTTCAAATCCTTCGGGTTGATGCATATATATTTGTTCCTCAAGTTTGCCATATAAGAAAGCTGTCTTAACATCAAGTTGTTCTAATTCCAAATCATACATGGCAACGAAGGCAAGCAAGACACGAATAGAGCTATGTTTAACAACAGGTGAGAAAATATCATTAAAATCAACTCCTTGTACCTGACTATAGCCCTTTACAACTAATCGTACCTTATACCTCGCATCTTCAACCCCTGGAATGCCATCCTTTTTCTTGAAGACCCATTTGCAACCAACAATTCTTTTTCCTGATGGCGGCTTCACAAGAGACCAAGTACCATTCTTGTGGAGAGACTCAATTTCTTCATTCATTGCAATCAGCCACTTGGCTGAGTCAGCACCAGAAACTGCTTCTGAATATTTTGATGGTTCTCCAATTTCTTCAGTTTCCTGTGCAACTGAAAAAGCAAATGCAACATAATCTCCAAACCTTAATGGTTGTTTACCTTCTCTTCTTGGTCTATGTTTGGCTATAGAATACTCCTCTTCTTCTGGTTCAACTTCAGGAGTCTCAACTTCAGGAATTTCAGCTTCTGTCTCAACTTCAGGAGTTTCAACTGTATTTTGCTCCAAAGTTGATGAGCTTGGCTCAGAAGGAATGCCAATCTCAATCTCCACCTGGTTCTGTGTACTCTTTCCTTTATCTGTATTACAAGAACTAGAAGACTCTTTTCTAGAATGTAACATAGAGGATTTATCAAAGGTTATATCTCTGCTAATTATAAATTTTGGTGCCGTGGGATCAGGATACCATAATCGGTATCCTTTCACCCCAGATGCATACCCAAGGAAAATATACTTTTTAGCCCTTGGCTCTAATTTTCTATCATTTACATGCATGTATGCAGGGCAACCAAATATCTTTAATCAGAATAATTACCTGACCATATTTCCGCTGGAGTCTTAAAGTTCAAAGGTGCAGAAGGAGCTCGGTTGACAATATAACAAGCTGTAGA